TATCGAGTATTGCCAGCGTTAAGCTTCTCTGGAAAATTGGTATCTTTCGAGGTACCTAATAAGGACGTGCACACGTAATATATTAGATGGGTGGATGAGCTCACAGCCCACCTGGTGTTAAGTGGTTACTGGAGCCCATAGACATCTACAACGTAAACGCGCCACCCACCTCGAGATATAAGTTCTAAGGTCTCAGTATAGTTACAACGGCTACCCCACCCTTCGAACCGAAACGCATTACTGCTTCACGGCGGAAATAGGCGGGGTGGTGGTACCTACCCGTGCGGACTCCCAAGAGGTCCTACCACCAGTGATTACGCAAATTATAATTTTGCGGGTTTGATTTTTATTACATGATGTTATTCCTTCACCGTAGAAGTCAATCGTGAACATTTGTTGAGTACGTATTGGTACCCGCCTGCGGGATTCGAACACCGGTGCATCGCTACACACGAATGCACCGGACGTCTTATCCTTCAGGCCACGACGACTACAATAATAAGACGATAAATTCGATTTTTCCAACAACAAAAAAGCTACTTTTATAAATTTACTAGTTGTGATCTGAGCTCATACAGATATACCTATCTACGGGTATGCCATGCCCACTTTCACCGTCAGACAGTCATGCGTTCCGATTTGAAGGGTGACATTGAATTCTGCTCATGTCCCAGTTTTAGTTGTGACTACACTAACCATTTCTCAAACAGCTCATACAGTGAGCCAGCAATAAAAAAAACATCTCTATAAATTAAAATCGATTATGAAATGTTAGAAAATAAATAAATCAATGTTTTATATAAATATAAAAAACGTATTTGTTGGAAGTCAGTTTGTTTTACGCTGCGGGTGGCAGCACTGTGGGATCTCAACTTTTTATATTATTCATTACTTTAATTAAAGAAATATCGTCGCGGGTATCACACAGTAGGTACGCTGTGTGGAACATGTCATGTATTATCTCCTTTGTTAGTGTGAGACAAACTGTTTAATATAAATTGAATGGTAGGCTGTTTTAGATATTCAGTTTTTTTCTTTTTTATAAACGTAAGTACAATGAAGCTGTTTCACGATAGAGTTTCGGTTGAAATGTCAACGAAAAAGGAAACCGACTTAAGCAGAATGAGGCATTTTAAATGAAAAATAATCATTAAAATCACTCAAAAAAAAAGTGTACACATAAAAAAAAAGTTGAATTGAAAACTCCCCCTTTTTTCCAAGTCCGTTAAAAAGTTTTTAATTTTTTTTAAGCAATTACATATTATTGTTGTTCAACGTATGACTAAGATGTTTGTTATTAGTCGATATTTGAATATCGTGCCAACTAAGTACCGTTAACTACCAACTACAGTTTAGGTAACTAAAAACGTAAACAACTTAATAAGCCTTTAATAATAAAATGAAAACAATGAAATGCGATATTCAAGCGATAAATAGTCATGATTAAAAAACACATTCGCATTCGCATTCGACTTCGGGAATTATAACAACCTGAATCAACGATAACAAAACCCAAGCGTTGAAGTAAACAAATCTAAACCCGTTTTTATACAGAAATTTAATTAAGATAGTCACGTTTTTATTTTGTTATTATGTTAAGAATCCGCTGTGAATGCAAATGAGTGATTTTTAGTGGAAGCGATGTTATATTCAGTTTGTGTTCATAATGAATGGAAAGGGCCGTTTGCCGTCTACATGTGAAAGCTGTACATGTTACTTCATAGTAAAAGTACTACTTGTATGTACTAGATATTGCCTACGGGCGAGTAAATAACAAGTATTATTTATAGGTTACATCACTCAGTTTTTAAAGAAAAAACTGTTTAATATATCTGTCCTTATCTGTCTAGAATTATAAATTTATTTAATGAAATTGTAATTTAAAAAAAAATTGTATCGTAAATTTATATTATGTATTTAGTAAGCATTTCGGCCACAAAAATGAAGCCACATTCACACAACAGCTCAGTTAATTTCAACTTTAATGAAATATTCCGATACTAACTCGAAAAACGTCACAGCCAAACAATAGCTTCATATTTTTATTTATAAATGTTTTTTTTTGTTGCTTAGATGGGTGGACGAGCTCACGGCCCCACCTGGTGTTAACTGGTTACTGGAGCCCATAGACATCTACGACGTAAATGCGCCACCCACCTTGAGATATAAGTTCTAAGGTCTCAAGTATAGTTACTTATTTATTTATTTATTTATTTATTTATTTATTTATTATTTGTGGTCATAGGTTAACAAAGATTAATAAGTTAATATTAATAAATGTATCACTATGTCCTGCTAGTAAAGCGTACAAATATTAGGTGTAAGTATAATCTACATAAAAATAAAAATAACTTAAATTATAATTATTGAACTCTATTCTACTTAATTATCTAAAGTTATCGTNCCAAAAATACTAAATTTCATGTTGTTTTCTCTTTATAAACGTGTTTTTTACATCTTTTTACAGCGCATTTTAGGATCGTTCCACTCGACGGTCGGCGTGACACTGACGGCAAAACAGTGCTTAATATGAATCTAAGCACAGTTTTGTTTGGTTACTTTTGACGCCTTTACGCGGGATCTAGTGGTAATATATCGATGGTAAAGAGTCGTAGTTTTCGTAATGACCCAGCGAGCCGGACGCTACTCTTGTCCGACAATCACTATGTTCTAATTATAAACCTTTTATATTTATTGAAATACGAAACCTGTTTTCTTCACACACTGGTACATCGACTCTTGTATCATGAAAATAATGAATGGAGAATGGGCTATTATAAAAAAAAATGGTTTAAAAAAACTAAATAAATATGCTTTTATAAGCGTGGGGTGCATAGTATCAGTAGTTATAAATATTTTATGAACAGATATAAGTAGAAGGGTTATTTTGAGAATATCTTGAAAAGCACCCCACGCTTTTTTTTACAATAAAATCATTTTTCTTACACTATTTTTAATTCAAAGTTATTAATATTTATTTTCTATTTTTTAGTTGGATTTTCTATAAAGTCGTATTTTGTTAGTTTTTTTTAAACTATTATTTATTTTTAATTTTTTAGTTGAATTTCAATTTTTATTTTTTTTTATTAAATATTGAATTGTCATGGGTCCTTAATAAGTATACCAAATTTCGAGTTAATCCGATGTTTTAAAGGTGGTCAAAACCATGTTCAAAGATTCCGTTACATACTAACATACATACGTCTGAAGCTAATAAAAGCGTATTAAAAAGAGGTCATAGTTTGACTCTACTCCTGGTGTTGATAATTATTCTGTCAGGTGTAAATAATATGCCAACAAAGAATATATTGCTTGTTTTTTATGATTATTTAGATACGAATGTGGCCTATGCAATACGTCTCATCGCAATATAATTGCACTTTTTTTTCCCTACTTATTCGCCTGTAGCCTAAGAGGCTATTTCAGCTACGCCCGGACGGTTAGGTGAGCTCACGGGCTCAACCTAAGGAATTTGCTAACATTAGCCCTAGCAAGAGCAGTGCTTCGCAGAGTCTACCACCGGCCCGGAATCGCGACCGACTGAGAAGATCCGGCGAGAAAGTCAGTGGGCTAGCAAATGCAGTATATCAAGGGTTCTCAAACTAAATCTTGCCTGGAGAAACCAGGGATACCCGTGGGCGGAACACATCGGTATCACAATTAACGTTTGAAATCGTAGAGTAAACAAATACATATCTCCATGTACTGTCTCTTACTGAAATGGTAGGTCAGGTTTTTTATTCAAGCACATAATGCGCAATATACATGCTTTTATTACATTTTACTGTCAGTAATATCATCTGCACCAATTTCTGTTGGCATTTTTTCTGGTAACTAAATTGTTTTCCTTTATAACAAGCTAGTGAAATCCGGTCACGCTTCGCTGTAGCTCGCTGATTGCATGAAAAATATCGATATCAAGACACTACCGCGTGGGTCTGCACTATCCGACATGTTTCTAACGCGGTATATTAATTTTTTGTAACCTGTAGGGTTGGACAGCTGTAAATATCAAACTTCAAGTACATCTCTCAAGATGGACGGTAGCCCTCGCTTAGTTCTATCTATGGAATTCGGTAACTAGTCAACGCCAGAATGTTCCGAAAGCTACGATAGTACGCCATTTTGTCGTATCTATCTAATTATTTATTTATTTATTTACGCATATTTATATCTGTTATAAACCGCTACACAAATATGAACTGGATTCTTATTAAAATTCATATTAGTGGGTTTTTGGAAAGCAAACAACTGGCGTGGGCATCTTGACCTTTTGAGGTTAATAGTTACATACGTACGTATTTAGGACGATGAGTTTCGTTGGGTCATTTGGCTGTTGAATTAACCAATTTAAGTTGATGTCTCATTCAAATAATTGTTATTTTGTTTGTTTAGAAGGCTTCTGTCTTAAGTATAATATTTCAGCCTCGTTTGAAGAGAATATATCATTAAGTTAAGATAACTTCACTACTTGATGTTACACCCAGTGTTCGCAAGTTTGGAAAGAATTCGACATCTGTAAACTCTTATTATATAGTGCGTAATAGAAGTCACTTTCTTTCTATACAAACATATTTGTAATTCGAAGTCTGGTTTTATTATTATCTCGTACGCGTCTGGCGGTGTTGGGTTTAAATAGCTCCATTATGAAATTTAGTTAGAAAAAAAAATATTTTATATAAGTAATGAAATTCTAATCTATTTAAGTAATTTCAACGTAATTGTCACTAAATTCACGAGGCCCGATTAATTAGGAAATTAGCACATGCACTGTGAACCGATGTTAATACAATAACTAAATTATTTTGGCCTTCCAATCAGGACAAAAAAATCTGTTCTAATTTTTTGTTTTTGCTATTGTTTTTTTTTTTTAAACTAAACAGTTCCTTTATCATTTCATGTATGAAAAATATCCAATTCTCTTTCCACACCTGATCGAAATTAGAAGATTCTGTAATGCTGTTTGACATGAAGCAAAAATATTGAGAGCATTAACGTACCTTAGTCTCGAGTCGTTCGGTTTCATTCTTGTAATGTGTCCTTTCGTTTTCGACTTTGTCCAATTTAGAACGAAGCGTCTCCAACTCGTCCTGGAAACAAAAACAATATTACAATACGTCATCTTACTGTTCATCACGACGCAAAAGATATTAGTGTTCTTGAACATGGGTATGTTGTTTGTAGTTTATATCATTAACGTGACGGACAGCTTTAACGAATTCATAGTTTTTAATGATATGTTTTTAATTTATTATCAAGTTATCAACAACGTATTGTAAGCAAGCACGGGTAGGTACCAACACGCGACCTACGCCTGCAGCGGAACATTCATACAACTATTCGGGTTCTGATAGCCAATTAAGGTCAGATAGACCGTGAGCTCCTATACCCCTCTATTAAACAACAATAAAAAAACAAAATACTGATTTTTAAAAAGGTCGTGCACAGCTTGTTACTTTCAAATAAAGTTATTGTAATATTTTCGTCTTGACTAATTTCACATACATTATAACAAAGTGCATTTAAAATTATTGGCGCTTGGTTTTTTTTTCTTTCTAAATTTACATTGATGAATTATTTTGATAAAAATTTAGAAAAATTCCTGTTAAAGAAGCGCGTAGTCACAGATGTGTCTATAAGTGAGGATCTATAATATCATTTATCCTTTAAACTTCTTCTTTTTCTAGTTCTTGTCTCTTGTCTCTTGTAGACAAGAACTAGACTTTTTCTTCTTCTTCCCACATTAGGTAGAGTTGGCGTCGAATCTCCTCTCATCATTGTGCACAGGGGTTCAGCATGAGTTTCACGACCGGCCGTCTTCTTGACGTCAACCGTTCTTGGCTTACATCTCCAGTAGTAAATCCATTGCAACGTACCATAAGTAGGGACTTTTCTTTTCGTGTTTCTTTTAGTTTAACTGTTTTTATTTCTCTCATTGACATTTCATTATCTATATATATAAAAATGTATTGCTGTTCGTTAGTCTCGCTAAAACTCGAGAACGGCTGGACCGATTTGGCTAATTTTGGTCTTGAATTATTTGTGGAAGTCCAGAGAAGGTTTAAAAGGTAGATAAATATGAAAATGCTCGGAATTAAATGAAAATAACAATTTTGTTTTCTTTTTGATGTGTCCCTCGTCGGACGGATTCCTTTTGTTTGATTTAAGTTTTTTGTATACAAAAGTTTAGGTCTTTTATTTAGGCACTACGAAGTCTGCCGGATCGACTAGTTATAAACAATTAAATACACCGCAATTTAGATTTTCAAACGCCATAGAGATAAAATATCATATCATATTCGTTTTCCTGTATTTTTTATAACAATCACTTCGATTAAACGCATTGTTAAAATTGAACGAAAAAAGCGTTTATATACATTTTTAACGCTTATTTAACGTTACCAATAAGATAATGTTTCTCCGTTGCTGCAACATTCTGGAAATGCAATTCGTACGAGATACTCCTCGGAGCGAATAGTCATGTTGTTACAATATCTCATCATATTCAATTAAACGCTCAGCCATTTTAATGTTATATTGCGTTATTTTCCGAGTGTCTACAGTTTCGATATGAAATGAATGTACCGCTGATTCATCATAAATGTGGAAATGTAAATAATATATTATAGAATTGAAAGATGCACTTTCTGTTAGTCGCATTTATTCGATGTGTTCTGTGATGTTATTTTTATGAAAGACTCAGCTTTGCAAATTCCCCTGTGTTATTGAAAACATGTCAGGCACATGTCCCCTTACGGGGCACGTCTTGAGTTTTGAGGCAATTCCTTCTATCCGGGTTTGATCTCTCGGCTTTCGCGGCAAGAGTGATGTTTGCATTGGTAAGATGCTTTATGACGGAATGGTAATTATAATGAAGATGAAGTGAATGAAGTGTAACAATATGGAACGCATCACAATTTTGCGTGTCATCCTTATATCGAGGGGTGAAGAACTATTTGGTTTAAACGATTTTTGGAACTTTACAGGAGAGTCATTTAAAATTAAAAATTTGAAAATAATATCATAACAAAACAAATATTCTACAGCTATTTCAATGGAGTAAACTTAATTGAAGTTCAATTAAAAACATCGAACTGTTGATGCTAATACCACATAAGACGCACTTATTAATTAAAAACATAAATGTCGCTTAAACCTATAGCCTTTCATCCCTCGATTTATAAAAAAATAAAAAATAAATGAAAATCGTATATAATTTCCGAAACTACATAAACATGTGTAAGTAGCTTTCTATTATATTATGTTTCGGTCTATTTACCGATCGGTTCCGCTCATTTACGTCACGAACAATCGCACTATAAAAGCCCTCAATACCGACGAATAAGCGACATTATGGTGACGAGATTTAAAAAAATTACGGTAGAGAAATATTGTATTTTTTTCGGTCTTCGCGAGTCGTAAACATATTTAAAAGTATTTTTACGATTTAATCTCGCGCGTGTTTTTTTCATTATCGTTATATACCTAATTTGCAACGTTTCGAATGACGACGAATATAATGACAATGATATTGAATTGCGATCTAGTGAAAATCGCATTAAGCTTGCCAGAACAAAAGAAAGGTAGAGGCCGCCTGCCATCGACCTGGTGGTCAAACATCGAAAGAGACCTTAAGAAAGCCCAATTGCCAAAACCGACAACCTAGGACAGATCAGCCTGGCGCCGTAAAGTAAGGAGACCCGACCCCAGATAACGGGAACAGGGACGGATAGTAGTAGTAGTAGTAGTAATAGTAGTAGTATTGAATTGCGATATCGAGCCGTTTAAATTAGGCAAAAAGATATATAAGATTTATTTAAAGAAACAAAACATGATTTAGGTCAGTGGCGAGGACGATTTAGATTTTGATATTTTAATTGGTTTGTTCATATGCGATGCTCATGTCTTTCTCATAGAATAAAACCCACTTCGATAAAGCGGCACGACATGAGAATCCTCTCATCGTGGCCGCCGGAAACTACATAGCCGACCCTGCGGACCAAATGGTAAACAGTCGACGTCGCCCAAAACAAGTCATTTCGGATCTTCCCGATCCACTAACGGTGCTTTTAGGTACTTCAAGCACCGGTCATCGTTCTCGTCGAACCCGTCGCTTGCGACGAAGGGCTCGGCGAGTAAATAAACCCACAGACACAGCCCACTGAGTTTTTCGCCGGATCTTCTCAGTGGGTCGCGTTTCCGATCCGGTGGTAGATTCTGCGAAGCACGGCTCTTGCTAGGGTTCGTGTTAGTAGCACCGTCAGATTTGAGCCCCGTGTGCTCAGGTTAAGGTTACGCTGATATGGTCTCTCTAGACCATCAGCTTAGGTAGAAAAAAAAAACATTCACACACAAACTTCCGATACGGTTCGTTAAACTTTCATCTAACTTGCAAACGAATGATTGCATTTATTAACGATAAAAAGCCAACGAACGTTTTATTTAGAATGTTTGAGCATTAATTAGTTCTCACGAAAGCGACGATGCTCGCCCGAACGTTCCGGAAAAAACGTATGATAATAAGTTAATAACAAACGTTTTAGTAAACATTTAATTGGAGTTACAAAGCAACGGCTGCAAATTTCTATGAATTGATTGTAACAATCTGTCATTCCACAATTAAATAATAAAATTTAATTATATACTCGTTTATACATTTATCTATATACGTGAATAAATAACTTTGTGTACCACTTTTTACGAAAATTGCGCGGACGGAGGAGTATGAAATTTCCCACACTTATAGAGAATATAGAGTAGGAGTGCAGAGTGCTAATATTTTTCAAAAATTATGCATAAAAATACATACACATACTACCATGTATTTGACACACACACACGCGCACGTATATACATTTTTGCTTATTGTTAAAGTCTGTGGTAAAGAATAGATTAATATTGTTGGTATTTAATATTATTTGGCTATAGTGTAGCCTTGGCGAAATATGTAATTAAAGAAGTAAAGTTTTTGACAATAGATTACCTTAACAATGTTCAAACTTATAATTTAAATTAGTAATTATAGTCGAATTTCGGCTTCTGTGGGGCCACTAGTAATCTAGAAAACCGACGTACGTAAAAAGTGACTCGCTGGTTATCGTCAATGGCTATGAGTTGAAGATCGCGTATTATATTTTTATAATTCAACCTCAAGCGCCTGCAAAATGTTCAGATCACACTTTAAGAGACGCTGTCCGACTTTTCAAACTAAAACGTATGACTGCTTTGCGACTGAAATAGACATGGTGATGCCCACCTGTGCAATCTCGTGACAAGGCTTAATACTTAAAGCCCTTAAACCCTTACTAAGCACTTAAGCCCTTACTTTTAAATTAATGACAGCTGAAGGAGCATTGACCTATATTTTTTCCTTCATTGAAAAACTATTTCGAGAACAGCGTAAGTGATTACAGAAAATCAATTTGAAATGTAAAATAATCTTTAATTGCCTATATTATTAATCAAACAAGTCTGACATTTATTTGTCTCTGTTGTTATCTTGTTGTTATATTATTATGGAGTCATTATTCAAACTATTATTGGAATTGGCAAAAACAAATTATCATTGGTATTGTTCAAACAGATACTTTAGCCTATATTTTCATATTCTCTGTGTACGACTCAAATGTCAATTTTGTTAGAGGACTTTTTGGCGGAACGCAAGGAGTAGGTTCTGTGATTTGTTTTATTCTGTCTATTTAGTGTTTCTTCACGTTTAAATGTGTAATAACGACGGTTTATTAATTTTTTAATACCTGTGAAAGTGCAGAAATGTGGGAAAATGAAACAAAGCCGCTGGACGTGACTTCTCGGGATCCACCATAAAGTCAACTGAAAAAATCTCAGTAAATGACCACCATTTTACTGAGATTATATTTCATTCATTATATTTCACGCGTGAATTGTTTTATTTTGGTCAGTGTTTCTTCAGATTTAAATGTGTAATAAAGGTTGTTTATTAGCTGTTTAGCATGTAGAAATTTTCTTTAGAAATAATAGTATTAAGCCAATGACATTAATGGAAGGACGAAAAGAGTTCTATTTATGACGAAAATTAAAAAAAATTTAGGCAACGGCTTCACTTTATGCT